CTGAGACCCGGGGGCCGCCCCGAGCCTGCGACCCCGGAGCTCCCCTCGCTCCGCTTTGCCGTGTGAACCTCCCCCGGTCCATCTTCGGACCTAAAACCTGGCGGGATGTGGTCAACAGCGCGGACCCTTTCCCTTTCCGTTTGTAGGCTGTAAGGAAGAAGGGAAGAGACAAGCTTTGTGTGCCTTACACCTTTGGTGCCCTCGCATTTCTTCCACAACGCGCTAGAAACATCCCCTCTGAGCGCTGCTGTCGTGTAAAAACCTGCCTTCAGGGCTGGGCGTTCGCATAGCTACTACACCTTGGGAGGGTAGAAGGGGTCTAAAAATAAAATAAAATGCAATAAAATTAAATAAATGGTAAAAAGAAATGGACTATAAAATTATATATTAAATGAAAAATAAAATAAATTTTAAAAATAAAATAAAATTATAAAATAAAATATAAAATAAAATATAAAATAAAATATAAAATAAAATATAAAATAAAATAAAATAAAATAAAATAAATGCAAAGCATTACAGATTGATAGTGGTTTTTATGGGAAGTTCTCCTCCTCCAGATGGGGGAGTTTTCCTGGTATCTCCTGTAGAGATGCCAAAACACCCAAGAGCCCTTCCAGACTCAGAAGCAGATTTGCCACCTACTCTATCTGCTCCTGTTCCATTCCTGAGGGATTTATGATCTGAGCAGTCCTTCCCCTGTTTCACACACCAGGAAGGGCAGCAGATGCAAAGGCAGCTGCTGGAGGTGGTTTCTGGACCCAGCACAGGCCATACAAATTTCAACCAGACAATCCCAGGTCACTCAAAAACCACGCTTGTGTCATTGCAGAGCTGGGTGGAAGAAAGGCTGTTTTCCCTCCCATATTTCACCCTCTGAGGGTGTAAATTGAGCAAATTCTGTGCCAAAGAAGACAAAAAACACTTCTTTCTTCAGCTCTGCAAGCTCCAGCATTGATGTGTCTCAGTCACCATCTGATTTTTAACCTTTGCAACCCCAGGGATTTGTCTGGAAGGCAATGAGAGCAGAGTGGTACTTCATGCAATGCCTCCAGTGTCAGCAGCCAGGGTTGGGATGCTGAGCTCTCCTGGCATTATCAGCAGGAAGGAGCTGGCCTGGGCGCAGCTGACATTCTGCTGCCTGCTCTGCTAACATCTATCAGCATCATTTGAATGTCATTTATAGCTGAATTCCCAAGGAGGGCTGTGGGAGGCTAGGAAGTTTTGATAACTAGGCCATTTATCTCTCTCCAGCTCCTGTTCTAGCTCAGTACAATAGCGATTACACTTGCCAATGCCACAGGGGAGCCATAAGCATTAGCGAGGATGTATGGGGCACTGAGAATGAGCTCTTGCTGCAGATAACACCCTATGCCTTAACCTTCATCCCAGTGCTGCATTAGGAAGAGGTGGGAGGAGAAGGGGAGAGGAAAGACAATTTATAGCGAAGCAATTCATCACAGCTTTGAACCACAACAGTAATGTTCAAACCAAAATGGGGATGGTAAATAATTTTCATGGGGGGGGGGGAGGCAGTAAATTATTTTCACTTGCAAAGGGTTTCACCAATGTCAGATAGCAATAGGTGATTGATAGGAAGGAGCACCAGCTTGTTTGGCTTTTATAACACTTATACCAGAGACACAACACTTTTCAATATCAGTTACATGGAGGGGTTTTTCAGTGGCAGGCTTCTGAGACATTTTCAAGCCTCAAATCACGCCCATACAAGCCACCACTTGAGACCCAACAGGAAAGAGCTTCCATCGCCTCTCTAAAATTAAAATCCCACAGCTCAGTGTCAGGAATTCTCCTCCTCCATATTCCATCTGGGATAACTGCTGCGCAGATGTAGCCGTGCTGGCTGAGCAGTGTAAAGCAAGGGAGGTTGGCTGAAGTCTTCTAAATCAATCCAAAGACACACAACAGTTTCAAGGGGATCTGAATCAGCCCCCAGCAGTGGTTTTGCAGTACCCCATTGATGGTACCACTGCTGGGGACACATCCCTATTGCACACCTGCTGGCAAAGCTCCCGCTGATGGTGGAGGGAGTTTGGCCAGAGGGAGGGCTCAGGGCTGTGGTTTGGCTTAATGAGCAATTACACTCCATTACTGTCATTTATGAAGTGTTGCTGGCAGCACCCAGCGTGCTCAGGTTTGATATCCACCTCCTTGGCTGACACTGGAGATGTCTGTAATCAAAAGCAAGTGCTTCTGCCGAGCTGGATCTGGCAGCCAGGAGGCTGGAACAGGTTCTGACAGGAATGTGCAGAGGGACTCCAGATAAGCATCTCCCAGCAGGTTATGCTGGCCCCCATCAAACAGAAAACTGGTTTACTCAAAGAGGTTATAGCCTAAAATCAGAGGAAAACAGGATTGTATCTGTTGGTCAAGATAATATGACTTTATCTTGGCTTTTTCATAGGTCATCTGGATTCTTGTGAATGACAAACACAGGAGTGCTTGGTAAACATCACATTAACACACAGAGTGTATTATGGTAGAGCCACATAAACACTCAGCTGGACCACCCAGAAGGAAAGTGCAAGTGGAAAATCAGTTACTGTGCAAAAGACTTTAGGAGCAACATGGGCAAACACCTGCTCATGAGCTCGTGTCAGAGCAACAGAGATTTGTTACTTAAAAAAGTGGTCAGGCTATCTAGGAACCAGGAACAGAAAGCAACACTGTCTATACTGTGAGTGAAACTGTCATGAAATGCCATGTCCTGCTCTAGTAGGGCATGCTTTGAAAAAGGTGAAGAGCAGAACCACAGGGATCATTTCCTGAGATGAGAGATTTGAAGCTTGGGGACCTCTTGACTCGGGAGTCTTATATATGGAGCAAGGCCCAGTGCATGGAGGGTGAAACTGTATAACCATATAAGTAAGTGGGATCTCAGTTTCAGTGTAAGCACTGATGTTGAATTTTATTGCCCTTTTCTATCCTCCTTCTGCCTCCTCTATCTTATCAAGCAAATTTTTTGCAGTACTTCAAGGCTTCTAGTTTCTCATTTAGGGTGACAAGAACTAATCCCATTTTTAGCTGTCTCTAACACCAGCTTCCACTCAACCTTTGGTGTAAGCTCCATCAAGCATCCTCGTGCTCTTTCCTTGGAAGCTCCAAAAGCTTTAAGGAGGACTCCATTCACACACAAACCTACCTTGCTTTTAATCATTTTGTTAAAACTCAGTACTTGGATGCCCACAAAATCTACCAGTGGGACTGAGCATGGTCTGGAAGCCCCTACTGATGAATGCCAAGTGAGACACTGCAAGTACAGCCCTGAGAGCCCAGATTATTCAGGCAGTAGGAGCAGCCTGGCTTTAAAAGAGACCTAAAGCCCATGGGGGCTGATTTGGGGAGTTGCTAGCCAAGACCCAGGTTGTGCTCTCTCAACTGCATTGTTCAAACACCCAGCCTCAATCTTGTCCTGTGACTTCTGTGTTCAGCAACATTTCCTCTTCCCTCTTTGTGCATCCACATCTCCCTTCCTTACAGCTACATGTCATTTTTTTTTTTAAGGGCTTGTTTCTTAAGGATTAGCATTGAAGGAATCTAATATGTGGCTTAAACCAACAAAAAGTGTAGCCCAAAAAGAACAACTGGTTGGAACAAGACAGAATTAACTAGCCAAGCATGAAGCAGTCTTGGACTTGGTCTTAAGTCAGAGTTGCAGGTTTGATCTTTATTTTTAAAAGTTATAGCTTAGTTTAACTTGAAGATGTGTTCTGTGATCAGCAGGTGGTCAAACTGATAAAAATGTCACACTGGCATCCAGATCATTGCATGAGCTGCATGAAACCAGGTCAGGCACACAACAGTCATGTTGGGGAGACTGAGATCAGTGTCTGATCTTAAATCTGGTGGTGGAAGAGTGGTTGAGATGTCCATGAAATCTCAAAGCTGTGCAGAAAAATAAAATGTTGTTCTGACAGGCAGCTCTTCCTTCCCCAGACTGCAGATGAACCTAATGAAGAGTAGCTGCTGCTCCAAGCTGTTTTCTGTGCAGTGGAAGCCAGAGCCTATATTAGCTGTATGCTCAGAATCAAAATAACTCTAGGGCTGATGCTGCTGTTCCCAAAGTGGATAAAATTCATTAAAATAAAAAAAGAACAACGAACAAAATAAAACAGCAGCTCTAAAATACTTTCACAGTGCTCACTTGAGGGAAAGACTTGCCAGAACAGGTCCCTTGGTCCAAGAGCTAGCATTAAAAGTGTTCCCTGGTTTGCAGCTGCAGCATCTTCAGCCTAGCAGAGAGCATCCCTGTATGGCAGTGTGGAAATGAGGCCACAGAAACCCCTATGCCCACTTTGCTGTCCCTAAGCACTGAGTTCCCTGGCACTCCCCTCCTCAGAGCATCCATAGGAATGGGAGACCAGCTGCCAGCTGCCATTGCCCTTGCTGCCTGCCAGCCTTATGGAAAACATGAAGTGGAAAATAAATCTCCACCAGTGCAAATTACTGCATGGGCAGAAGAAAATCAATACATTGTAACTTCACACTGCCTTAATGCCATTAAAAGATCGTTGAGAACCAATCAAAAGAGCATCCATAATTCACTCATAGTCCCCTTGCTGAATCCTTGTCACAGTCACAATGTGTGTGTGCATCCATAATCTTGTCCCATCATTTTGCACAGTCCTTGTTTTTGAGACAGAAAGAAGGATTTCAGCCAGCAAGGTTCTTACATTGCATCAGTACCTTCAAACCTTTGGTTTCCATCTCTGCTGAGCTCTGACCATCCCAGTCGTTGACTTTCTTGAACAAACTACTCATCCAAAACTTTTCCATTTCTCAACCCAGTGAGCTCAACCCTTTCACATGGTTGAATCCACGTTATCATGATTCAGGCATGGTCCTTTAGCACACAGGGCAGGACAGCACTAAATCATGAAAAGTCAAAGGGCTGTCTGAAAAAAATCTTCAGGAAAGGAGAGCAAGCAGATAAAGATGGGTCATCATGAGTTTTTCACTTTCTCTCACTCAGTCTCGTGTTTTATGACTTTTTCTGAGCCTCTTGGAATTGCTCACTTCCCCTCCTGACTATGAGTGAATGAAGGTAAGGTGAGAATCTCCCTTCCAGGTGCTGGGACATCACACAATCAACCCCAAATCCAGACATTTGAAATCCTATAATTACAGATGGCAACTCTGAGAAATATGTATTGAAATCATTACTGACTCCAATGATTTCTCCATTTCATTTCAGATCATTTTTAAGGTTCCATATTTTGCCTAAGATAGTATTGTATCTTCCTGTCATAGTAGGTCTCTTAATTGGATATTTTCCCTTAGCATCAAAATAATCAGTTGGAATGCCACCAGTGGAAATCTGATTGTGCTTTGGATTCAACATCAGTCACTGTAGAGTTACCAGGAGATGCAGCCTGTGACTGCTTTTACAGAGGGCTTCCATCAAATTCCTTCTTTGCCTTCAGACCTGCAGAAGTCACACTTGCAAAAATGTGTCTTGCAAGAAATTTACCCCCTGGTTTCCTTTATGCTGCCTGTTTTCATACGAAGAAGCAGCCGGTCTCAGCAAGCCAGTTCCTCTTAGGTATTTTCTAGAAATCTTTATCCAATGCTTCCAATTTTCTACAGAATAGGAATGCCCATATGGCACAATTGGAAGTAGAAAAGATGAAGGAGTGATGGCTACATATAGCAGAAACCTCTGAATATCAGTTTTAAATTGCTATAAATTGATCCACTGCAAATTCCTCAGTCCCTTTTGGTGGAGCAAGACAGAAAAGGCCTTTGCTTTGAGTTTCTTGTGAGCCAGAATTGTGTTTCTCCATGACTTGGGCTCCATCATTGATGGTGAAATATGAGGATGACTGAATAACTGGTACAACTTCACCACCAGCTGTGGGTGGGGCTGTGAGTGGTTGTGTAAAGCATCACACACACTGAAATAGGGATGTTGTCTGGCAAGCCCTCATGGTACAATCTGCTTTACAACACCCAAGTGTTGTAGGAGTACAACAAGTGTTGTACTCAAGTCCTAGTCCGGGGGAATCCTGATAACCTCAGTGGAAGAAGTCTTCAGATAGTCACAAATCAAAGCTTGATTGAGGTTGGAAAGGACACTGGAGGTCACACAGTCCACTCCTCCTCCTCCTGCAGGGCCACCAAAACCTCAGGTTCTTGTCCAGATGGCTTTTGAGTCTCTCTTAACCCCCCAGTTAAATTTTACCTAATTTCTTGCTTCTGAACATCCAGTTTCACAAAAGATTGATTGAAGTACCTGACACATATTTTAATTTCAAGGAATTTAGCCCAGAACTACACTATGATTTACAGCTGTCAGTCCTTCTCACGTAGAACCCAGCTCTGGTTTGTACAGGGATCCCATCCCCATTTCAAATGCAGCCCTTGGGAGAAGAACATCCCATAGGCTGGCAATGATCCTAAGGGCAAGTTTCTTTACACTGCCTTTGGTAACTGCATGATTTCACTCCAGTCATTCCAAGGATGTCACTTATCACATCCCCAAACAGAGGAAGAAATTGCCCTGTCTTAGGACAACTTCTGTCTTCAGAAATATAAAACTGAAAATCTATTTCCAGCCTCCTTTTCCTTGCCCACTCATTTCCAAGATGACACTTCGCTCTCCCAGGGGAAGCAATCTCTGACAAGCAGCTCCTCCAGGGCTTTCTGAACACTGCAGCTCTGAATCCCCAAGTCCACACCACACATATCCTAGTTTTAAGGTGGCTTGTCTCTAGATGGACATTGTCCTGCACAGGCAGGCACAGCTCCCCAGCCCACGCAGTTTCTCCATGCTGAAAGCAGCAGTGAGCTGCACAGTACCAGGAGCTCACAACATTTTTCCCTCTTGGTTTGCAGCTGAACAGGCCCACCCTATTACACAGGTTCCCTTTGATGCTGTCAAATCTACAGCTTCAGTAGAACCAGCACATTCCCAAATGCTGTGTCTCTGTTTCATAATTTGCACCTTCTGTGTTCTGAAAGGGAAGGGTTCATAATCAATTGCAGAAAACTGTATTTCATTGCACTGAGATGAATGTTGATCAGCCTGCACAACACCAAAGTTGACTTCAGGAAGAAAATATGGTGTGGCTGTCACCTTGTTGCAGCTCCCAGGTATCTCATAATTCCTGCAGCTCAGTGAACAAGGGATGCACTGTGAATCTGCCAAATTAAATATTTTTCCGCTTTTCTGGAGAACAAATGTCCACACCTCCCACCTTGAATGATGTGGGACCCTGCACTATCAGAGCAATGTTTTTCTGCTACCATCATCTTTCCTGTTGCTACAAAGGTCTGGTTAGGAATTAGCCATGAGAACAAGAAATTAGCCATGAGAACAAGGCCCTGCTTTGGAATAACTCTGCCTACCCATCCAGTCAGCCTTGCTGGACTATTGCAAATGTGGGTCTGGGTGAGTCCAGGGTGCCTGACAGCATGGATGTGCTCCTTAAATCATATTATTACTTAGCTTGATTTCAGAGTGAAAAACCCAAAGAAACTGTGAACAGAGATTGTGTGTCTAGAAGACAGAGTGGGGAGGAGTAGGAATTGCTCTCATCTGTTCAGGAGGAGACCTGAATTGGAAATTAATTTGTAGGTGTAGCACTTAAAAACTCTTGCTTTCTTTTCCTGCTATTACCTCTTCCCTGTGCGGCTGTGATCAATATCACTCCAGGTACCATTCAGGGAGCAGATTTTTTGTCTCAGTTCCTGAGGATTTGGTCCTGTGCTTCACTTTCTTCCAAGGCCAGTGCACACAGTTGTCTTGGTTGGGAAAGACAGGAGTCTGCTAAGGAAGGCAGGAGCCTTCCCTGAAATAGAGAATGTAAACCCTCCCCACCCCTCTGAATTGCCATAAATTTTAAATTAAGGGGCTCTCAGGCAAAAATATGGGAGCAGGAAATAACAGTTCTTTAATAGGGAAGGAAAAAAAAAAAAGGATAAAATAAACAATGCAGTACACTAGAACAGCACTGACAAAGTCAGAACCCAACCTGACACCCTGTGGGTCAGGGTGTTGGTGACAATCCCATTGGAATTGTGGCTGCAGCCCTCCTGGAGTGTCAGGGGTGGCTCTGTTGGAGCAAGAGGATCCTGTAGAGAAGGATGTATTCTTCCTCTGAAGATCCAGTGGAAGAAGAGGCAGCTGCTGTTATTCTGGGGAATACAGTGGAGAAAGCCGTGCTGGTGTCTCAAAACCCCTGGATTATATCTGGGTAGCAATGCTTGGCTCCTCCCTCTGGGCGGAGCATCTCACAATGGGATGTTATAATTCTTATCAGTCATGCAGTGACATTCAATATTCTGTTATCAGCAATGTCCCCTCCCCAGGGAGGTGTGAATGTGGTCACTCAAAGAGAGAGATAAAGCAAACTGCCCACTTGACAAAAGATAATCTGCCATACAGATGGTAATAGAAAATATCTTGCATTGCAATCTGGGACAGCAGTTCACTGGAGCATTAGGGCTTTTCTATTTTGGGACTGCAACTTCTGGTACTGAGCAGGGCCTGCAGGATGGATGGGATCCCTCAGCACCTCAAGAGCAATGCTGCATTATTAATGAGCAGGTGAGCAAGGAGGGGTATGGCAGTGCAGTTCTGAGCTGTGTGCACTTGAGGCACCAACAGTGAGAGCACATCTGTCAGCCCCATCCCCACCAGATGGTTCCTTTCTGTGCCCAAACCTGCTGTCATTTATTTCATCAGTAATTTAGTTCAGGGCTGAGGAATTGACACATCCCAGGTAGGGGAATAGTGGTCTGACACCTGAAAACTTTGACAGGAGCATAAACCCATGGAAATTCTTCAGCAATGAGTTAAAGAAACTCAGAGTTTTCTTTTGAATGGAATGACCTAAATGAAAAAGAAAAAAAAAATATTAATATGTGCTAAGCTAAGCTCTTTCTTTTTATTATTATTCTTCTTCTATTTATTAATATTCTTCTTGGAAACAAATTTTTGGAAAAGTTTTTTTTTTGCTTGGGAAACAAGCTTTTTGCTCACTAAAAACAGTTTGAAAGCTGATTCTATTTCAATTTAACAAAATAAAAACAACAAAATGGAAAAGTTTGGCAAGCAGTTGTTAAAAGTCTGAGCAAACAATTATTTGAGGTTTCAGCATTGAGCAGTTCCTCATGCTCAGAGCTTCAAGAAGGTTTAAACCAGGGCAGTACTTTCTCCTTGGGGTGGACAATGAGGACATGTGGGGGCAGCCAGGGCAGCAGCAGGAGCAGCTGGGACTGAACAGGCTGTTTCCAGTCAGTCATTGTCTGTTTGCTGATCTGTAGCCCTGTAAACTGGGAATATTTGGTGCATTTTTCACTGAGGTTCAGTAACAAGGCCACATATTTGTCTGAATCTTCAGGCAGCCTGAGCTCACACTCAGTAGTGCAAAATTTCACCTTTTTAAAGAGGGTGTCATAACCTCCTGGGCTCCCAAGATAAACATCACTTCTATTCTCTCAGTTTTTTATGAAAGGAGAAAATATTTCTTCCATGCACAGCTGAGTGTTCATCTTGCTGTCCCATCCCACTTTCACAGCAGCAAATGCTGGGCTGTGACCACGGCTGGAGCCTGGATGGGGCTCTGAGCAGCCTGGGCTGGTGGAAGTGTCCCTGCCTATGGAAGTGTCCCTGCCTAAGGCACCAGGCTGGAATTGGATGAGTTTAAGGTCCTTTCCAGCACAAACCATTCTATGATTCTGTAATTTTTTTCTTGGACACTGAAATCAAACTGAGGAGCACTCAATCTTAATTACAGCTTGATCTTCGTTGGGCAGAAGATCATTTGTGATAG